GTCTGGGACGAGAATGTCGACAGGCCAGTTGGTGTTGGGGGCTTGGAGTCCTTTGTGTTTGGGGGATATGTATATGTCTTTGGCGGAGTATTTACATTCTGGTTCAATGGGACAGGAGAGACAGTTTGTTGCAGTGCCTGCGGCTGCGGGTTTGCGTGTACGGGTGAACTGTTGGACAGAGCCGGAGGAGGTTATTGTTTCGGGGAGATGGGGTGGAGCGATCGGGTCGGAGGGGGGAGGAGAACAGAGAAGCCAGAGAAGGAGATCAATATCGTGGCAGGATTTTGTGAGGAGAGATGGCGCAGTCGTGGATTCTTTGCGCCAGTTTCCACTTTTTAGTTGTTAGCTATCATACCTTGGAATTCAAAAAGGCAACATCCATACCGAACATAGCTATGAGTAAAATGCCACCAACCTACCGGCTCAGTATGGTTAATACTCAGCACGTCCCCAATAACCCTCTCCTCCAAAAGTAACTTCCTCAACATCATATTATGCGGACTATACCTCAATACATGTCCAATACTGAAGATTTTATCTGGTAATCTATTCCGTGGATAGTCAGGCAACATCGCCCTATAAATCTCTACACAATCCTCCAATGTTGTCGCCAACGGTTTCTCACACATAATATGCAAGCCCAATGGTTTCAATCCCACAATAACCTCTTTGTGCATTTCATCCAGCACACATATAAAGGCGGCATCAATCCCAGGCGGTACGGACTCCCCGCGAGCAGCGCGGGCTCGTCGATCAAGCTCATAGGAGAGGAATTCTTTCCAGTTTGAAAATGATTGTCCTTCAGACGGGGAATCAGAACCCCAGATGTAGCGCGATCCAAGGCGTTGTCGTTTATATGGAATGGGTTCTGCGACTGCAGAGACGATACCCGGGGTAGATTCGTGCACACAGCGGGAATATTGACTACCTCGAGACCCTGCGCCGATGATGAGGATGCGGGGTGGGTTTGAGGAGGTGATTGTGGAGGGGTTAATGGGAGCGGATGCGTGCGGTGACATATCTACGAAGTTGTAGTTTGAGGTTGGAATTGCTGTAGATTAGCTTGGGATGTGAGATTTATACCAAGAGATATCGGTTTGAAGGCTGAAGCTTCAATTGAATTAAATATGCTCGCAGATATCTATCTATACTTGGTTGATCGCACTTGTCGACAACAAAGGCATGGATGGACGATAGACATCACATAATGAAAATGAATTAAACTTTACTTATCCTCGATTTCAGGGCGTACCCAGGTAGCAGAACAACACATCCTACCAACTGCGTAGATGCTAAGCTATTGAGCTTCCTAATCATGCAGGAAGGGCTCTTCAGGTCCCTTGCTTGACCCCGCGATAAGGGGTGGGGAAAGTAACGTTACTGGATTCGAACCAATCATAACCGATGAATTTGTATTGCAAAAGATATCCGCAATTTCTTCACATCTTCATCTTCGTATTGCTGTTGTATACAACCAGGCCTGCCTTTTGAATATGCCTTAGCGTAATGAACCTCCGGACTGAGAAAATGGGGAACAGCTGATGAGTACTTTTGGGGCAAGAATCACTACGTTACATCAGGGCGTCTTTTGTTGCATATCTGCTTAAAGTCTGACGCAATACGAGACATTTGGAGTACGGATATGCCTTGTAGGTTGGACGAGAGTTCACGAATATCACATTCTGGGCATGAAACTTGAGATCACAGATAAGATTACATTCACAATTGAGTTTATAACTAAACTATAAATTTTGCACGTTGCTTTCAGATCTCCTTTTTCTTCGAGCGGAGTGTAGAGCATGAGGAGCGACGGCGCTCCACACCAGGCAACAACGTAAAATCTTACTTCCCCAGGAAGTACAGAGCAGTGGATGTTACATTCATCCTTGTTTGCATGTTATGGTTCAATGCCTGTCATCTCTTCAAACGGCGCTTCGATTGTGTTCTGATATCCAGTAGCATGAGTTTTCACCTTCCTGAGCGATTACCGCTCCAAGATGTTCTCGATATCCACCACAAAGGCCAGAATAGATCTCCCATACCTGTCATTGAGAATGGGATCAACAAGTCTTGATACGTGGAGTGTCACATACACATCGAGAGTTCCTTGCAATATTCTGTAATATCGGAGAACATCCGTCAAGAACGATATCCACAAGCCCAGCTTGGTGCCGAAATCGATTAACAGATGCAATAACCTGTGTGCCAGTGGAATTGTCCCGCTTTCAACAAAAATTCGAAGATGATTCCTAATTCTGATTATGATATCCTCGCGTAGCGAACCTCATATGTTTCGTACCATCCACTGATCCTGCGCTCGACAAGTTCCCTCATTGCTTCGTATGTCTGACATTTATCTTTTAGATCTTCACGAAAATCAATTTCCTCAAACTTGACTCTTGGTTGTCGTTCAAGTTTACAATGTGCTCCATACTTATTCACTTTGTGAGCGGTTAGTACAACGGGAGAAGTCCAGTTGTGGGATACCGCACTTTTACTGATAGTTGCGTATACAACGTTCCTATCGCCAAGCTTCCGGTTTGATTGTCTTAATGTTCCAAGGTACACACTAGGTTTGAATAATGGATCCGGCAATCCATGATCTTCACCGGGATATGGAAATGGTGGGTTTAATACACCCAGTGGTGTAGCAGGCCGCTGTTCGGTAAACACATCGTGTGCGGAATCGTCGTATGGTTCTTCTGGAAAACTTATTATGGCTTCTTGCCCCGAATCAAGTTGCTTGGGTGACAGGCATTTTGAAACTCGTGCAGATAAAGGTTGAGTAGAAGGAGCGAACAACTTTGCAGAATCGATGGATGTCTCGGACGGAAAGTAAGTTGGCGGAATTTGTAGCTTAGGAGGAGCTAGAGGCTTTACTGTCTTGTTATGGAGCCCTGAAAGTCCAGAATCATTGCCGGTTAAAGGTAGGAAATGAGTTTCTGGTGGAAATATACGGTCTTCATCTGAAATTTCCATCACGTGGGATAATCTTTCCAGTATCTCCTCTTCTGATTTGGTCCGTTCTAGTCCCTCGCGTTCCTGAGATGCCATTTTTGGAGCAATCGAGAGATAGGAGAATGCATTGTTGTATCCTATGGTTGGAGAAAATGTTGAGAAGCGGTCCTTATGTTACTGTCGATTTGAGAGCAAGATTAGGGGGCTTTCTTGATGGTCTTTGTAAGCTCCAGAAGGTTGAATAAAGAATACTGAAATACATCAACGCGATCCTTGAGCATCGCTAACATGTGAAGATCGAACAAAGAATTGTGATATTCATTACCAGATGATTTGTACAGATTGATCGAGACTTCTCGAAAAACTTACGATTTTCCTGGACCTTTCAGAGGTTGTGATGGTTGGACATTGCCATGGATGCTACCGCACAGAGTATACTTATGATGCCTGTCATAACTCTGCTTTAAATGCCATTGCGATGATATCAAAGCTTGTAGAATATACGATAAATCGTCAGATAACTTGTATCAACAATGGTTGTATCTGTATCAAGTATATCGTGAGAGAGGGAATTTATAGTGATGTTTGTGAAAAGCACCTGCAATTTGGGAGCAAGTGGAGAAATCTTGTTCATTCGCCGAAACTCGGGTTCTGGCCTTGATGTCAAGGCATTTTATCATATCACATGATCCTTACCTCGCTTCTCAGGATCTTTCAATTCTGCCTCCGAACCTCCCAACTACCTTGAGATCCCCAATTGACGCCCATCATACCTGTCAAGATGTTCACACAAACTGTCCGCGCTTCGGTATGTTATATGCTCAGCTCAAAACGTCATTTTACTAACCGCAGAAGCGCTCTCAAATCGCCCGCGTTGCGAGGCAGCAAATGATCAGCAAGAGAACTTTCATCGTTCCTACTGCTGTTCGTCGTGGTACGTTCATAATTCTATTCACAACTATTATTCTGCCTCCAGAATCACTGCCACCGAAACACATAATACACGCAGATATATCCGCCAGTCAGAAGCTAATTCCGATCAATAGCGGACCTTGTCCAAGATCTTTACCTCAAGGAATTGAAGAGTTACAAAGCTCCTCAAATCAAGGCATCCGATTCCGAAGGACAAGTTCTCAAGTTCTCCCCACCTAAGGCCCCTACATCTCCAGAAGAAACCGATATCGCGAAGGAATTGGCAGCATACGAGGCAAGCACAGTCGAAGTAGAGGGACAAGCTGAGGGAGGTGTTGAGGCCAAGGAGGTTGATTGGTTTGAGGAGGAGCCTGAGGAGGAAGCTGCACACCACTAGATTACGAAATGATACCGGAGTGAAAACGTGAAGCCGCGTGGTAGATTAAAACGTGGGGATGCGATGGAGGGGCGGGGAAATGTGTACACATAGCGAGGTGGTAGAATGGAGTGCGAATTGTACAGTCATTAACCGCCTATTTTGAAAGAAGACTCGATCGACTGGGTTATCTTCCGCAGCGCATGTCACTATTTTTTTCCAAGTTTCTGGAAGCAGAGTGTCCACACCGTCCATCTCGAGACGATCAAATTGCTACCATCTGCTTGTTTTGGTCCCTCAATTTTAACCCTGTCCACGAAATCATGAATGTTTCACGCCAAGTGGCTAGGATTCCTGAATCGCAGGGAGCGCTATCATGACGAAATTGTACAAAGGAATACTTAGTATACTGAATCCAGTTTTGGAATTTTTATGCCGCACCATCCACAATAGATATGCGGCCACTTCCTCGTTCGAGAAGATCCCCTGCTACTAGCTGCACGGGCCTTTGCGGGGGGTACTAAACATCTTCCTCTTGTTCTCCGGCCCAACATTACTGCCTCCAACATCACCACTTTATTATTCTTGAACAGCGGGGAAACCATCATCTTTTACGTTCGCAGTCTTGATCCTACATTAAGTATCGCCCATCATGTAATCCTTCCGGCTCACATACATTACTAGTGATCTGGCTACCATCCGAATATCAATCAGTCAAGCTTTCAACTACATCGTTCACCCAAAGCCATTTCAATCAATCTTCAACATCCACAGAAGCAGTTTTCTTAATACCTTTTCCTTCCAGCTCATATACCTTTTTCTTCATACTTGTGCCGTCCAACTCAAATTTTCCGGGTCCCTCCATCTCATGAAAGTTGGCAGTCGTTTCTAGCTCTAATGCATTCTTATCACTTCGCATCTTCCATGGAAGCGTGAGAGGCTGTTTTCGTTGATCTCGATGACGAATGACAACACACACTGTCACCAAAAGAAGCAAGCCTAAGACACCGGTGATAATGCCCACTATCATAGGCATGCGATTATTTTTAATGTTGGAACTCGATGGTGTATCTGTAGATGCTGATGGGATGTCGGTAGATGATGCAAATAATGTCGGGTGTGCGTGCGCGGTGGTATTAACCGTACCTGTGGTCACACCTAAAACCGATCCTAAACTCGAAATGTATTCGTTTCCTGATGTGATTGTCGAAACACTTTGCTCTGCTGTTGTTGAACTACTACTACCGTCACCTACGGCGGTACTGCTGATGCGGGTGCTCGTGGTGATATTACTAGTGCCACTGGGGTACCTCGTCGTTTTATCGATGCCGCTGCCATCATCTCTTTTATAAACTGCAAAGTCGTTGACCCAAAAAGCACCCGAAAGTGTCTTATCACCCTCACAATCGCTCAAAATTACCCACGGTGGAAAATGCACATTCTTTATATCGAGCCCTGGTGGTACAGTCCACTTGTATTCTCCAGGTGATAGTGGAACATTCGCTGTTGTTTCCGAATCAGTCTTTATTCCAGACATATGAAGATGACGAACAAACAAGCTATTTCAAGAATTGGACCTCCAATGCCAGAATCAGTGACCATTCGCATTAAAATTAAATTGGTAGTTCCACTTTGACGTGATTGCCATTTGATGGCATAATTACTACCCGAGATTAGGATTTGCCTATCATATGGTGTGAGGATTTTGAGCTCGATCGCGTAGTTTGAGCGTACCAATAAACACAGAACCGAAAGGAGAACACAAGTTACGTGAAGATATAGAATCATCCTGATTACATGTTTGATGTATCATTTGGAAAGAAACAAATATCGCATATAACGGTGCTATGGTAAAGAGTTAAATGCGATTGAGCATCATTCTACCATTTGTGCAACCTCCAAACCTAGCTGCTGACAGGAGATTAGGAAATTTGTGGCTCGATTTAATACGGAATGAGCATCTTGGCCCCAACTCAATAAAAAGTATTCATATAGCTCAGTGGATGAAGTGGCACCCAGGATCTTCTCCACAAAGCAATTACTGAAACGGCCCCCAAATTTACTCTCTGTTGTGCAACCCAACCCACAGCATAAATCGCCAGCAACCTCCAATCATACATCAAACTATCGCTAATTTTTGGCTTGAAGGAATCTCAAACTGTGATGGTGACCAACTTTGGTCATATTGGATAAGGCTATAGGCATCAATTTCCATGTTGTGGCGCAAGCATTGAGGAGTTTGAATCGAGTGGTAATATCGTCTATCTCGTTTTTTTTTCCATCTCATTTCTTACTTCTACAGTGAGCCTTCGTGTCGGCATCTCGTTCCTGCATATCTATTTGATATTCTGCAACTTTCATCTCCACGAGGGCAGTGGTGGAGGAATAAGAAAAGTCCGCCAAGTTTACCCCTTAATGAATTTTTTTACCGCATGGATCTAGACTCAAGCCTTAATCGCGAATACGTGCCTGTTTAATGCTGACGAGGACTGTCGCCGCGTGTACCAAATATGAAGGATTGCCTGGTATTATTATTTGAAGGTTGATACGATATTGTCATCTTCATTTGCACGTATCTTACTCCTGCTGCTTCTTTCTTGAAGTTACGAGGTCAGTACCAACCCTGATATCATGCTAGAAACTAGTGACATATTAGCAATAAAATCCATCATGACACTATAAATTACCTCTTGAAACAGCTTCGTTGCACATCTACTCGTACTACCTTAAAACTACAAGGCACATATTGACAAATCTCTCAGAGCCTTGGAACTCGTAAATAATCTACGAAACTGCTCCGTGCCATCACCCTCCTCGCTACCCTCACGCTATTCACCCAGCTTTGTTGCATATCTACAAAATTCTTAATACAAGACATATTCGAATAAGCCTCCGCACTTACCTAATCCTCTCAATCACCACACTACACCAAACTAAATTCGACACCGGCAAATCCATCTCCTCATCACCAGTATCCAATCATAGGCTTTAAAATGCTTTGTTGCGCATCTGTATCTTTAATCTTACAAATCTCAATGCGGGGTTCAAACTTAATGTTTCATGAGCAGGACGGTAGATGATAAAGTTTCGATCACCTACCTAGGTATGGTGATAAGTTTAGGGTTTCGGTACGGAAAGTTAGATCTGAGATTTTGGGATACGAAATGTTATTGGTTACTCGCGTGAAATTGTATTCTTTTAGTAGTATCCAATTGGTAGTTGGGAATGATAGTGTTGCGTATCTGGACTCGTGATTTTGTGGATTTTGTTCTGATGTGAGGGGGAGAGGGATGGGGGTATTGGATGGTCTGGGATGGTGTGGTGTACAGCGGTAGAGAATAGAGTTTGGATATCCATCTACCTATCTGGCGATGCTGGGTTTAGAGTTTGCTTCGGAAAGTGTAAAGCTAGTTGGGTCATGGTTGGCTTTACTTCACAGATTTAAGTTCATCTCTAAAGATGGTGATGAAGCTATGTAGAATGTACCGCTGTGGTGTGGTCTATGTAGGTTGAATATCGATACGCTGTCTTGGTGCATGACTTTGCATTCTTTCGACGTTGGTTTCACTAGGTATCCAAGCTCGTTGTCTGCAGCGCTTCCCTATGTAGTGTAATATGTAACATGTAATATTTGGATTACATACTCCTCTCCTCCTCTTCTCAATCCATCTCATCTTATATACTGACCATCTCTCCTTTCCTATTCTTTACAATCTCTCAATTTTTGAAGCACATGCACATTCATATCTATATGCATAGAAACACGAACAGGAATCGAAATCCCATTCATTCAAACGATCAATCAAATAACCAACGTTTACAAAACACAGATGGATGGCCAGATAGACAGAGGTAGATGCACGTATAGATAGATACACAAAAACCAGGCGTTGAAAAAAAATGAATCTCATTACCAAGTAGATAGACGGGTAACTAAACACCCCTTTCCATCCATCTTGCCTTCCTTCCAGCACATTCACCCATCCACGCATGCACGCATACATGCATCCATCCAACATACAAAAAATATCCATCCGTCCTCCCTCCTAACGCCATCTAGATCCATTACTCGTACTTCGTAGTCTAGAAACTAAGAAAATCAACCCACCCAACTCCATGATTTCATTTCACAATCTCCATTAATAGTATTTCTCCGCTTTCCATTCTTGCTAGTTTTGGCTTGCTTGCTCGTTCGCTCAACTCACAAAATCAATCCTTTGTCAACTTTAACACTTCTCCTTCCTCCATCTACAACTTCCGACCCCCATTTTCCCTTCCACTCCCTCTCCCTCTCTCTAGCTTCCTCAAAAGCCCTCCTACAATCTTCGGGTAAAACGTCAAGTACATCTTCACTAACCCCACTCAAGCCATCCATACCAATCAAGTTGTCTCCCGCGCTTCCATTTGATTTTCCGCCCGCGCTCAAATCCCAGCCCGCGCCATCTGGACCTGGGACGCCGTAATGTGTCGATGGAGAGGATTCCATGTATGTATCTACTATCATGAGATTTCTGGAAAAGAATGGTTTGACTGGTGGGAACAGTGTTGATGAATCTGCAGACGGGGATTGTGGTTCGTTGTCGTTTATTTGTTCCCAGCGGGCATGAGTCGGTTGCATGGTTCGTGGGTATTGCATGATGTTTGTGTGGGGATCGTAGATACCGTTCAGGTTTTGACGACGAGCTGCTGAAATTGCGGAGTTAAATCGACTTTTGGTATGTGTTAGTGAGGATTCAAATTAAATTTTGGAAAAGAAAAGAAAAGAACAAACATACCTAGCTTCTCGAGCATGTTCCAACATCCAATTGACATCATTAACCATAATCTTTCTCTTCTTGCCATCAATCATCTTTCCGGTTTGTTGTGGGACAGTGGGTTGGCCAGAATGATATACTGAACTTGCTCCATGCCATGCGACGTATTGATTTTTGTTATATGCTTCTCCATCCTTAATTGCATCGTTTGGATCAGCTAAAGAACCTTCTTCAACTCCCTCTTCCCTTGCTTTCGTAACCTCATAATCATCTGTGATTCTCTTGCCTCCAACAATAATTTGAGCGCCGAATTCGCGGAAAACTGATCTCGCTGTAACAATTCCAATAGCTCTTCCCTTATAAGAATGTGGAATAAGTTCTCGTTCGATCATGTCCCGCTTCTCCTCCTCGTCAATAATGATCTTAAATAACCTCTTATGCTTCGCAAAGAAAAGATAACTATCTCTGAATCCTACACAACGTGCCGGTTCGGTGGATAACATATAAAGTCTCTTTCCTCTTCCATGAACCGTAAAAGTCCTGCAGCGATATTCCCGACCATCTTGTAGATAACCAAGCTTATCAACCTTTTTCTCTCCTTCCGCATCCTCCGGTAATTCCACTTCATCGTTCACAACATCCATCATGTTTCCCTCTTTATCGACTGGTTGTTGTGTAACATGACTGGGACCGCCTCTTCTGGCCCCTCGTCCACCACCTCTAAATCCTCTTCCTCTACCCCTCCCTCGACTTGGTGTAGGCGCCTCGGAAGTAGTTCCATCATCCAAGTCCCATCCTGGAGGTTTAATCTTGGGAGGTCTACCTAGACGCTTCTTACGAATGGTAGTTTCTGGAGCGGGAGTGGCTGGAACAGCTTCTTCTTCGACTTCTGATTCGATGGCTTCTTCTTCCTCCTCGTTTTCATCTTCATCATTTTCAGGAGGGGTACCGGGGTCAGATGGTGGTGCATCAATTATGGAATCATCTTCGGGGTCATCGTACGTTTGTGGTGTATTTTCTACATGGAAGGGAGATGAAGTTAGAATTGTCCAAAGGTAATAATGTTATGCGCCAGATAAAATATTGGAAGCAACTCACTCAATGCAGCAGCGGCATTTTTAGCGGCAGCTCTACCAGGTCGTCTACCCATTTTTGAGGGATATTCGATAATCAATTAATCGAATTTGTGCTTCAATGAAGGTATTCGTGAGCTTGACGTCGCGACTTGCGACGCGAATTGAAAGTCGGCCGCTTAAACAAATTCCGAGAAGCACGTGGAAAGAGAGCTAGTCTTAAAATGGTTAGTTACCATGTGATCAAAATCTCTCCAAGAATCGTATTGATCCATTTATTTTCCCGCTGCATCTGCTTACCTTTCGGGGTTTCCTAGATGGTCTCGGTGAGATCTAAAATCACAAGATAGAGTGTCTCTGTTACTAGGGTTCAGTCTTCACAATCGTTGACAGATGACGAGAAGCATGAGATGCAGCCGACTCCTAGAATAGTTTCGGCTCAAGTCGGATCGAACTCTGAATCACCTGGACTGTGTTTCTCAAGTTCGTATCTTGAGTTGGCTTCTGTACCCTTTTGTTTGTACTTTACTACATTTTAATATTCCTATGTCAGGATCACAGCAGTGTCGTATAATGGATGTACGGGTACTGCACATGCAATGAGGCATCTAAAATTACCTTGTGAAGGACGAACATTCTGTAAAACTATGCAGGCTGTGGTAGCTGAATGCGCAATGCAAGTTTCCATCGGAGGCTTCATATGTTCGCATCGCTGCATCGCATGGCATTGATTTTATGGGTCACAACATGCGGATATACTAGGCAGTTCTTCAAAAACTATACGATTACCAGACTGGAGGGTTTTTAGAATGATCTTTACCGAATACCTGTCCAAAGAATTCCAAATAGAAGAGTTATTAATGCAGAAAACATTCGATCCTTTCCCTTCCCCGCCGTCTGACGACAGAAATTGAAGATTGGAGATGCTGATATGTATTGGTGATATTGGGATATTGCAGTTCTTTCGGGTAGTATTGCAGTTTTTGGTGTAGACCAATGGAACTCCAACCCTGGATAAGTGCATGATCTTAAGCTTGAAAGTCTTAGGTCAGCTTGACTGGGATGCAGTTTGTGAAGTGTTGGGGGAGTAGTGGAAAGGCAAACCAACATTCCAGATGGGAAAACCAATAATCTTCTTGTGTGGGCTGGATCTGGATGAAGTTGCTTGATTTGTTGATAAATATCGGTAGACCTGCCGTACCGGTAGGTGTTGGGGAAACCTCGATAAGTCCGATAGGAGTTTTGATTGCTTCGATTGCAACATGTATGCATTTGTAAGATCGAGTTACCTAGATAGATAGGGGTTTTGATTCGTGGCGAAATAGACGAAATACTCCGTAAACGAAGAGGAAAGCTTCAGCTCCAAACCTTAGCAGTTGGAGCAGATCTTTGTGTACGTACAGACTCCAGAGAGTCTTTCAGGCCTGTTGTAAGTTGTAATTTGTAACTTTGTATAACTGCTTGAATTAGAAGTTGTTACTCAATCCGTAGAAGCTCCGCAACCCGTGTCAGGGTACTGCAATATGGAGTGTGTAAGGTTTATTATATATGACGTATTTGTATCGAGTCAAGGAAAGGGAAAGTGTAGGATTTTGAATCTGGTTGGAAGAGAGAGTGCTTGCCGTTTAATTGAATTGCGGTCGAGAACATTTTTTGTTTATTTGGGAGGCGATGGCTTGGGACATTTGCTTGGAAGAAGTTGTTTGGGACGAGGGAAGAGGGACGACCAGTCACACTACAGATTGGAGAAGAAGGAAAGCAAAAGCAATGTTATATGTTGAGTGTCAGATTGAATATCATAGGTTCGGAATGAAAAGATTAGATGAAGGGAGTTATCCGGTTTTTTGAGTGTTTCCCAACTACAACCTACAACCTCCAAAAGTACATGATCTATCGCATTTTATCGTTAATCGGTCTCGTCGGTATCTCCAATACACATGACATACATGATATTCATGATTAATATGAGTAAGTTGAGTGGTTTGATAACGAACGCGTTTCCTATGAGAGCAAAGCAAAGCTCCATTATGAATTAAATAAGACGACTGGCTGCGCTGTCATCAATCCATCCATCAATCATCACCATCACCATCGACCCCATAAAGACTCCACTACCTATCTATCTTCACCTCCCGGACTAATTTGATTTCGACATAACAGAGTGATACTTGTTGATATTCGACACTTGACACTTGACACTTGACACTCGATATTCAATACTCTCGACACTTGTTTACTTTTTAGTCTATCCGTATCAAATTTAATCCATACTTGCATCAATATGTAAAGAGGGAGAGCATTAATTTCACTCTTCTGTTACATTCTCTTCTTCCTTTTTCTTGTTTTGCGACATCCATATATCTATCTAACTCTCTATCTGTATATCTATCCCACCTTTCTCCCCATTCGAAGGGTTTTATTTCATCATATATATCTACAGATACACACATATACACGTACATACATATACTTTGACTACTCTCCTTCCTCAATCTATACCTACCCAACTACCTACCTACCTACTTACTTACCCATTCCATCTCACATTGCATTGTTGATATATCTATATACAACATTTCTCAATTCCACAATCCAATCTCACCTCACCCATCCATTCAATCACTTCCACGAATATTCGAGCAAGTAGTTCAGCTTCTACTGCAGTTTGACAGCTGAGACTCACAACCACTTCGCCCTCATCATTCCGCTGGCCTCATCATATCCAAGAGGTGTTGAAAACACACAATTTGGGGACTTGACACGACTTGAGATCCAGGTGGTCATCAAAACCAAGGAAATCGAGCCCAAAAGATAAAAATACGCGAGGAACTTATTATTTCGAACTTTGCCATCGTCTTCGTCTTCGCCTTCGCCTTCGCCTTCGCCTTCGCCTTCGCCTTTGCCCGGATAGCCTTAGGTACAACTTAGAATTTGGGTTTAAGAAATCAAGAAGAACAGACCCTGATTCAATTCTTTTCCCCCCTCTTTCCCAATTCTCCAAGTTTTTCCCCAAGAGAAACCCTAAATTTCAATTCAACTCAATTATCAAAAAATTGGAAAATAATTAGGAAGGGAAAGAAAAGGATTGGATATCATTTTTCGAGGTATTATTTTCATATAAACTCGAACTGCGGCTCATTCCTTGCTCGTTCCTTCAAAAAACCCCCCAATCCAAATTCGAGACAATCAATACGTACGGAACGGAAACGAAAGAGTCATAAGTACCTATCTTATTTCTACCCGTCGGTCAAAACTCCTGCGGAACCCACTATCAACATAACTTATGACCTAGTTACTTATTAAAGTCTATCTCGAGTCCCCAGCTAAAAAGTACCCCCAAACTTTCTACGCTTTCGACCTTTTCTCCGTTTTCTACCTTTTCCACGAACCTTCGAACGAATTTCCTACCTCTTCACCCACGAAACGATCAGACCGCAACGAAATACTCCCAAAGACTTCAACATAATTATAATATTGGCATCGGATAGTCCTCGCAGATCATAAAAAGATACGAAAATGGCAGGGACAGAACACGACTTGCTTAGGCAAGCTACACAAGCAATGATGGCAAGGTATGATTACAAAATTTTCGATTTCGCGATTCTTCCACTTTGTCGTCATAGAATACATATACATACATACATACACACACACACACAATAGAGGTATTTATACGGCAGCGCTTCTTTGAAGCTAAATCACATCATACCTTTGGGCGACACAAAGGACAAAGGGGAATGTGGACAAATACTTCCTATTTTCTCCTTTCCCGCTCTTCTCTCCGTTTCTTTCAACTCCACTCTCCATTTTCATCTCAACGTCTTTTGCACATGCTGAATCACTAAACGTCAAAGTTGACGAGGGGTACGGTTCCGGTTGTAATCGGGATTCCTTATCGAAACGGCAATCGGCGTACAGGTACAACTTTTTTTTTCTTCCAAAAAATTAATCAGAAGCAAGAGGGAGAGGGAGAAAACATCCATGTCACAAGAGAGAGAAATTTAATATTGGTTGAAGGTTTTCTGATTTGGTTGCTTGCTTGTGAGAGAAGAAGCAATTGATCATTCCTTACACCTTTACCTCTACATCTTTCTTCAATTCTACAATACTTTACTTTACTCTACTCCACCCTACAACATCTTTCACGATCGTTAACACACAATGCCTTCACTTCATGGTCTTTGGTCGCATATTAATGTTACTTTGGCTAATCTGACAAATAACAGAGATGATGATGGTGATCACATCGATTCCGATACACCCCGCTCTGGTGTCGCGACCCCACAACCAGATCCTTCAGACAAGCGAACTCCTGGTATCTTGCATAGCTTTTATGGACAGGTTGGTTTAGGTTCTTCCTCAAGTCAAAATCCTTCGAAACATACATCACATACATCACAAAATCCTAACACAGGTGATCTTGAGAGTTACTATACTTCCCCACGACAGAGATTTGAAACAGGGGATGCGTTGTTAAAAGTCACTCCAGGTTCCCTCAATGAACCCAGGATTGATTGTGAAGTAGAGAAAGAAAACTCACTACTTCCACCACATGAACTTTTGGGTAGTTCTCAAATATCTAAGCAACAATATCTCTATCCGACACCGCCTGTTTCACATCCGTCCTCACTACATAAGGTGAAATTGAGTGATGCGAGTTTTGAAGATATTGGCAATAATGTACAGAAAACGGCAGCTCCTACAGATCGAGATTGTATTTCGGAATCAATTCCGTCACATGCAAGAGCTTCGTCTATGACACCATTGTCAAACATTGTCACTCCATCAAATGTTCATGCTGCACATTTTTCAAATCCAAGCGATACCCCTTCCGAGCACAAACTTAACACTCCTCCATTAACCCGATTGAATTCTGAATTCCACAAGTCACCATCTTATGATCGACTCAAGAAGCTAACTTGTGATGGATTAAAGAGCATACCATCAACACCCACTCGAGCTTTATCGAATCAAACCTCGAAGTCAGATCAAAGTGTTATGAGCACAAATTCTGAACATATCGCACAAAATGGCAAATCAGGCACGAGTGAGCGACCGGCTACTACTTCTCGTACTGATAGTAGTTTGGGAGGAGCAGTGGTACCACCAAAGGGCAAACTTACTGTGAAGATTAACGAAGCCAGAGGATTGAGAAAGAGCGTGGATCCTTACGTTGTAGCCGTTTTCCAACGAAACGAGCTGGTATCAAAAGGACCACAATCAGAAGAGGATGATGAGGATGATGGCAACTCACATAGCCCCGGCGGCATTCCGATTGGTGGCATTCCGATTACGCGAACTGGAAGTGACTCCGGTCGTTCCATGGCAATTCCAATGAAGAGTAGGCAAAGCAGCAATACTAGTTTGTCGGAATACAGAGATTTTAAGAACAAGGGCCGAAAAATGTTTACCCACCCAAAATGGGATGCTGAAGCTGTCTTGTAAGTGTGTCAGGATAGATTAGTGGCTCATCTAGCTAACGATCCTTAGTGATGTTGTTGGCTCAGATACAAGAGTCAATATAACCATTTACGACCGAGCTCAACAAGCAGAAGAATTTTTGGGTCATGTTGATCTTCAAGCCAATCTTGTTGAGAATATCGATGCTCCAGTTTCCGGCTGGTTTCAACTTCGTGGCAAAGACATGACATCGAATGCAGGAAATGTAGGCGAGGTTCACGTCGAAATTTCCTTCCAGCGAACAGAGAAGAGACATTATGGACCAGATGATTTTCAGATTCTGAAGCTTATCGGAAAGGGTACATTTGGTCAAGTCTATCAAGTACGGAAGAAGGATACAAAGAGAATCTACGCTATGAAAGTTCTTCAAAAGAAGGTTATTGTTCAAAAGAAGGAAGTTGCTCACACCGTTGGCGAGAGAAATATCCTTGTTCGAACAGCTACAGCCGATTCTCCATTCATTGTCGGTCTTAAATTCTCCTTCCAGACACCAACAGATTTATATCTTGTCACAGATTATATGTCTGGAGGCGAATTGTTCTGGCATTTGCAAAAGGAAGGAAGATTTGATGAGCAGCGTGCCAAATTTTACATTGCGGAACTTATCCTAGCACTTGAACATCTTCACAAACATGATATCGTCTATCGGGATTTGAAACCAGAGAACATCTTGTTGGACGCGAACGGACACATTGCTTTGTGTGACTTTGGTCTATCGAAAGCGAACCTTACGAAGAATGCCACGACTAATACATTCTGTGGTACTACAGAGTACCTTGCACCTGAAGTTCTTTTGGATGAAGCTGGATATACAAAGATGGTTGATTTCTGGTCTCTAGGAGTCTTGGTGTTTGAGATGTGTTGTGGATGGAGTCCATTCTATGCCGAAGATACACAACAAATGTACAAAAATATCGCTTTTGGTAAAGTTCGATTTCCAAGGGATACTTTGACTACCGAGGGTCGAAACTTCGTCAAAGGATTACTTAACAGAAATCCCAAACATCGTCTTGGAGCCACAGATGATGCTGAAGAATTGAAGAGACATCCTTTCTTCCAGGACATTGATTGGGATGCTCTTACCAAGAAGCTTATCACTCCCCCTTTCAAGCCAAAGTTGAAGTCAGAGACCGATACATCCAATTTCGATCCTGAGTTCACCAATGCTTTGAATGGTGCATCATCACTCAACGCACGTGCAGCTGCCCTTGCTGCAGGCATGGCAACATCAACACCATTATCCCCAGGCATGCAAGCAAACTTCAAGGGCTTTACATTTGTTGATGAAAGCTCGATTGAAGAAAACATGAGAGATAGAGTCAAAGACGAATACGAGGATCGAATGGATCAAGACCATAATGATCCAGAACGTGATTGGGAGGACCCATTTGATATTCCTGATAAATCACGCGTGGATCGAATGAGTGGTGTAGTGAGGAATCACAATGAAGATGAACGAATGTTCAATGGTGATGACTTCCATTGATCCTTTGTTTATTCCTCAACATGACCTCATCTTATGTATTTAAGGATCTGGTGCAGACAAGTTTTCTTTTTGTGTCAGCATACATATACAATCTTCCTTTTTATTTTCCAATTCGGGTTTGGTGAATGGAATGGGGCTCATGGTGTGGTGCATGCATGCTTTCCATTGTATCTTACTTTGTCTTTCATGGTCTTCTTTACTTGTTCGCCGATTATTTGGTGGGTTCATTACTGGAGATGATTGATCGATACATAATCTGGGGAATCTTACCTTACATCCGTTTACATACTTATGATGATATCTTTCGAGTGGTAAGAGCATGGGCTTGGCGTAATTGATGGATGATTGATTGCGTGTGCTTGTCTCCGCGCTTGATTTTTTGCATTGGGATGGAGTTGAGTTATTTGCACTGCATAAGGCGCATGATTTGTATCAATTTGCTTGCTTCTATATCTATGGGAGTATGGATGAGAGGATAAGGGTGGATTGATCAGTGGTGGTATGGATGAGTGTAGTGGAGAGGAAAAGAAACGCAACCCTCAAGAAGCATTGGGTGTAGTACGAGCATTGACGATTGCATTCTTATTACAGAACATGTTGTTCAGGATGTGCGGTGGGAGATGGAATGAGGTGTGTAGTGGAAATGGGGCAGGAAAGAGAAAAGGGATATAATATTGATAGAAGCTTTTAGGCATGAGCGATTAGAGAATGCGGATTATGATTAATGAGAGAAGGCAGAGAGGGGTGAAGCATTGGAAGGGATGGAAGAGAAGATGATATGAGAAGAAAAAAAGTCCTGAGAAGTTATTTATTTATCTATCGGATTGTATTGTATCATTCGTGTTTATGTATGTATGTTCATTGATTTGATCTTAAGGGGTAAGGTGTGAGGTTTCATGTGATGTGTGATATGAGGTATGATGTGAGATCTTGGGCATACGAGCAACTGATACAGGGATATCAGAGGGGTAGCTGCATGTATGTCGATTAGCAAGACAGTCTGTTGCCCTTCTGTCTGCATGTCAAGAATGCTTGCTCCGAACCATATCTCATGGTCAAAAATATACGGTAGTATCTGTCGATCACTAATCCATCTGGTTTGCATTTCTTTGTCCTCGAATATGAGGGAAGATCTATCGAAAGTTGTAGATCTTCAAGATGTCTGTCCCGAAATCTTCGGGCAGATTGTGCAGTAAGTAGGTAGGTACATGAACGTTCACTCAATCTTAATTCTTCGCCCACCCCAATCCATGGACTCGGAACCCTCGTAACTCTCACGTCAACTTCTAGAATTATATTGGGATTGCCTCAATGGATAGCAAAGGTTTGTGAGATCACATTCCCGGATGAGATAATTGATCTTGGGAGTCGGGATTCTTTCTCGGGTTTGGTTTGTTGTTGATTAATTACTTGATGGTTCCTCGTGTGCAAAGCGTGGTAGTATATTTTGTTTTTAAGTACTGCGGGATGCTTTGTCGGGAATTTTAACTTGTTACTTTGGCGAATTCGTCGACGCCAATGTCAGGTACTACGCTCGTTCACAGTAGCGCTGATGCACCCTCATAAAGACATCTAACTCACTGTTTCGCCACTGTTCTGTTCTTTAGAGATTTACAGACAGGAGGAAAAATATGGAGACTTACTATGTCTTGAGTATTCATACGACTTGTAGATGGGGTTTTGCAGGCTTGTCACAACATATCCGGAAGTCTAGATGTGACTTTCAATACTATTCTCATGGTCTCTCATTACATAGGACCAATATGATTTTACAATCCACAACAACGCAACCATCAAGTGCTCATTGCCTCCGGCACAATTTTCCGGTTGCATCCTCAACCCATTTATCACTGCCCACACATGTTGGACAATGGAATACATCGTCACCATCGTAAGTCTTCTTCACTTCTTTTAACTTCGGTAGACTCTCACCGTAAAAATCCTTCAAATAATCCGGATCAAATCTATCCGCTTCATTCATATAACATCCAGTATCAGGCGCCAACTTTTTCAACGCTCCGACTTTCGTGTATGTCATATCGTCCCTAATCTCTTGTGCGATGGCCTCGTCGGTATCTGCAGTCCATCCGCGCGCTACGACATTGTGTATGTATGAAGATCTCCATGCGGGATTCAGGCCTGAGCTTTCATCGGGAACAAACACTTGACCACCTCCAACTAGAGAGACAGAAGTAAAAGCAAATTGACCTTGTGATCCAGCAGTTACATTCAGCATCTCATTGAGATTCGTCAAAGAAGATGTCAGGGCTATACGGTCCAAAAGACGCCCACCGAAAGCCCCAGTTCCAACACCTGCTGCACTCTTACCACCTGAAAGTGTCTGGTAGTATTCTGCGTATGTAGAAAACTCTAGGTAGTTCGGGTTGATAACGAGACTTGTGTTATACTGCTCAAGTTTGGACATTAAAGTTTCAAGTATTTCCTGGGTTTCGGAAAGAGTCTTTCCTGACACGGCTATGGCATGTTGATAACCGGTTGTGAAATTTCCAAAAACAGGCGCAGAGTTCTGCACTGCCCAACTTCCATACCCAGAAAGACCAGCATCATTGAGATCTGGATATGCAGAGTATATCAATGCCAAGGCTGTCATGAATGCTGGGATTTCCGCATCGGTCAGTGGGGCAACGGCTAGTGTTTGTGCAGAAATTGATGTCGTTGGATACGCCTTGATAATTGTTGACACGACCACTCCATATGTTCCACCTCCTCCACCTCTAATGGCAAAGAAAATATCTTGATTGTGACAGTTATTTGCAGTAACAGTCTCTCCACTTGCAAGGACCACTTCAGCTTCGAGTACTTGATCGGCACCAAGACCATAATCGCGAGATGCAGGTGAGTGGCCTCCTCCTTGAAACCACCCTCCGATGCATCCTACAGTCTATAGCAATATCAGCCTTATATCGATTGATTTTTGGTCATTCAACATACCGGATCACCACCTCCTACAACAACTACATTTCGTTTCGTGGCCTCTGCATAGACATCTTCCCAGACATAACCTCCAGCAATCTTAAATGCACTCCCTTTCCAATTCGAAGATTTACAACCATCGGAAGGTAAATATGTATCTTGAAAGATGATACCTTGTCTAAGATATCTGATCCAAACTTCTAAACTACCATAACCAGTGGATCTATATGGGAAGAATTAATTACTTAGATTTTACTATTCGAAAGGAATAAGATCGATCACCTACCTACCCAGTAGGTCATGGCCAGTATTTCTAACCACCAACCTGATATTATTTTTCCTAGCAAAAGCTACTCCCTTAGCAACATCTTCAGGCATCGTCGCATTTACAACATATCGAGGAGCATCTCCAATCGAGCAATTTCCTGGAATCGCTCCTATCGCAAAATAAATTGGTGGGCAGGAATTTTTGATAGGGGTATCTAGAGCAATTGGATCATTTGCAACGAGCTCCTCGTCGGACAATTCTTTCACAACCCTAGAACATGCGTCTAAGTTTTGCTGTGGTCCCGGATAACAAACAATCGCTGCTGGTTTTGCTTTGATTAATTTCCCAGATATGGACGCGTTCAATGAGTGCCATGAGTGTTGTGAGGGCCAGCAGCCATCAGTTGGTCCCTATCACTAGTCAGGAATGGTATTGTCTATAGATCGGGGTAGATGTACACATTTACAGTCTCTTGAGTATTCCGATTTTATATGACCACCAGAATCCGTCGCCAAAATCAGAGACACGAGTGCAAAAAGACACAAAATGAATCGAAGCATTCTTATACCTGTTGAGAAAATTACCTTTATGTAAAATTCAAAATGGGATTTGGTATTGGGGGTTTAAAAGTACAATTCAGCACCTCGGTCTACGTGCAAATACCGTAATGAGACATATCACGCAAATCTACGCCCCAAGCATCAGAAGAGGAAAGAGACAAGCATATTTTACAGCCACCCGAGCTTTAACTTCAGCTGGTCGGATAATTAACAGCGCATCAAACTACTTCTATGTTGATACTATATAATATCATAAGAATAAGAAAGAAGCCAGTCAAATATGATACAAAATAGGAATAAATTATTTGGAGTATCTTTCAATCATTTTGTACAGTTTTTGATTCGAGCGATTGTCATATAAAATCGAAAGATCATTTTGAAAAGAAAATGTCTTTTGAAGGTGCGGTTTCCCCGTCCAGCTAGAGCTTCATTGATGATCGAGCGCTGACCTCGCAGCTTGGAACAGGGCGATTTCGTCACGCAAGTGCAATCTTGACATTAAATTAGATTTTGAGTGCCGCGAGAGTCGGGAACAATGACAAGTAATGGGTATTAGGTATCACGCTTCTATCGTGAGTGTCGCATTTGGGAAGGATTGAAGGAGTGCCATGCCATGTATGTCTCCTCGATTTAGCCGACATCCCGCTTCCGCGCACGGTCCCCTACTGCCCCTTTATGAATGTGTGTATTGTTGATCTTTCTTTTGGAAATTCCAGTTCTCTTAAAATTGATTAGTATCGTTCTCTGATTTACTATCTTTCTTCTATTTTTTGAGTCTGTCAACTTTCTTTATCTGTTGGAGAATTCTAGTCTGTCAAATCATTGAATTTTGAGCATCTTTTTGTACAGTCTCTTCCGTTTCGCTGGATTGCTATGCTATCCAATGCTGTCTTTATATTTCCTACATTTTCACTGCTCGTCATTGTTTTGTCTGAATCAAGTCTTCATCGACATGTTCTTCCTTATGGCCCTATATTATCTTGCAAGGTATCTTAGTAGTGTTTAAATTGTTACCATCTTCTAATCTAGACAAATCCAAGAGTCTACCGCTCAAAGGTAAAGGCCAATCATAGCTATCTCTTTTGATGTTTTTCGAGGCGGAGGATCAGCCAGGGCGCAGGAATTCCTAGTAATATTAGAGAAGATTCATTTCGACTCACTCGCGAGATAGAGCTCACCTTTATCAATTCGTATATCTCGAAGAAGAAGAGGCATTGCAAGATTTTCAAGAAGCGCCG